GCGGGGGGACAGCTCCTTTCAGTGTTTTAAATTTGGACTGCTGTACCAATTTTAATAGTTAGGTGTCAGAGTTACATATTGGTCCTTTAACATGTAGGAGTGGACAATCAGATTTTTAGAGGATTCCCATGCCACCCCTGGCCAACCCTCTGGGCATACACCTTGCCAGGTGGTTTGAAATACAACTCCAAATGAATGCTCATGTAACTCCATTGTCAATAGGCTAACCACATTGCTCATCTGTTAACCATAACAACTTTCTCATGTTATAATTTCTCAATGATTAGCTAAACATTTGATTCTGTTATACCAAATGGTAATTCACAAATTGTATTATTTATGCTAAGCTAAACTGGCTGCTGGTTGTGACTTTACATTTACAGATATTTATTCAACTTACAGTCATTGATGTGGTTTAGATCTTTTTATTGAATTATTGGCAAAAAAATATCTATGTATATATATATATATATATATATATATATATATATATATATATATATATATATATCCAGAAATACAACAATTTCTTCACAAAGTTAAGTTTTTAGTTGTCTTGATTTTTTTTTTATCTGTAAGCTTTTGCTAAGCCAATCTAACACGCTGCCGGTCGGCTCACTATTTACTATAAAGCAGGGAGATGTGTTTATTGTCTTTTCATACTCGCAGTAGGAAAAAGAATAAGTGCTTTTCCCAAACTGGGAATCCGTCCTTTTAACCATGCACAGCTTGTTATTTTTTGGCTGCAGGCCTGGAAGCAAATGAATCAAAGAGGATTCCTCTGTGAACAACGGAAACCATTTTCCAAGCAAGAATACAGGATGTGTTGCAAAGTGTAGAAAAGTTCCCTTCAGTTAATGAAGTCTTAATTCTTAATGCGATGGCTTTGTCCAAACAGGACAAAACTTGGGACTTCTTGTGACTGGCATCCTGAGCGTTTGATTTAGTACACAATACCATCCTTCAGAACCTTCGCCCAAGTCTTTGTTTCCACAAAATGTCTGTTATTGTTATCGTTGAGCTTTCAAAGGATTTGCATGTTAAAAACCAAACAAAAACAAACTGTCCCATAATGTGCTGATGCTTTTGTATGAAACCAGCCGTTCTTCCTCCTCTACCTTTATGATTATTTTCTTTCCATTTCAATATGCCTCAACCGGATACCACCCAACCACCTGTAACAAAAGGCATGTGCCTCATGTGTATTGTCATGACGTCTTCTCTTCTCTGCTCGTGTATTTGATGGAGGTCTCAAGCAGTCCTGGACCCAAAGAGAAAAGAACACAAGAAAAAAAAAATTCATTTCGGTAAAGCATCTACCGGTAAATAACTTTGGCACGAGTTTGAATTGGTTTTGCATTTTAGTGCTTTACAAAGAATTATGCAAATGTGTGAGAGATAAGAAGGGTGTGGAACAGTTGAGGCTGATTATATTGGTTTCAGGAAATACTGCTGTGAACATCACTGTTTATAACAAACGGAAACTTGTTGGAGGGCTGGAAAAAAAATTTATTCATAAGATCTATCGATTTATTTTCAAACAAGATACAGATAAGACAAAATATTTTATATAGATATTGTGTAGTTTCTTTTCGATTAAGAATATATTATATTAAAAAAAATAGCATTATACGTCTCTTCCATAGAGCCACCAGTTCACCTCTTTCACCCCTCGCAGTCTGCCCCTCTTCACCCGGCCCCGCCTCCCTCTCTGAGCAAAACTCACAATCGACCTGTTTTCATTAAAACTTCACAAACAGGTAATCATTTTTCATGTACATGTTGACATTATGCAGCTGGCTGTTAATTAAAGTGATACTTTTGGCATTTGGCCCTTGTGGATTTGACTTAGAACCAACTTTGTCTTTGTTATTTCTTTACAGAAAAGAATATGGAGATCTACATTGTGCATCATAATTCAGCTAAAAACGTTAACATATGATTTTTGTTCCTTATCGCCCAACCATAATGTGTTGCAAGGTTATTTGTTATGAATTTGTTGAGGACAGCTCATTTGGGGCCCACACTTGACTTTTCGTATTGTTTGCCTAAGCTTTCATATTCAGAGGATAAAATAATTGGACAAATTCTACCCGTTACCCTCCCACTTCCCTGAGCGTTCAGCCACTGCGCAAACACATGCATTTCCCTTTGGTTGCTCATAATTATTTTGATAATTTTTTTGTTCCACACACTAGGACCGGACACCTCCCCTCAATCCCAAACAAAAGGTAGTGCGCAGTTTTCATTTGGTGAGTTTATTTTTCAAGCCTTTGCTAACAAACATCCCAGATCACAGCGGCGGGGTTGAATGGTAGGGCAAACATCGTAGCACCGTCATGGTGAAAGATCATTAGATCACACATGTGGACGGATTCAATGAGGTATTGTTAGAAAGCTTCTAACTGAAGGAAACCAGACAGATGGTGTGTTCAAAGGTAACTTGAGGGCAACAAGGTAAAAAGAACACAGCAATCAATATAAGAAAAAACTAGCCATATTTTAATCTTCAATTCTGATTTTATTTTCTCAAGATTTATTTTTGGCCTTTTTATGCCTTTATTGTAGATAGGACAGGAAGTCAAGGACAGAGAGAGAGAGAGAGTGGAGAATGACATGCGGGAAAGGAGCCACAGGTCCGATTCAAACCCGAGCCGCCCGCTTGGAGGACAATAGCCTCCGTACATAGGACGCACACACATTAACCACCGGCACCCCATGATTTGATTTTAACCGTAATTTTTTTCTCAGTATGGTAAAAGACAAACAAACATCTGGTTTGTAAGGTTGTCATCCTAGCCAAGATAGCAGCACAAGAAATGTGCAAAAAGAACCACAGGCGAGCAACAGGACGTTTACAATAACTGATAAAATGATCTATAGTTTCAGGTTTATTTGGTTCATACCAAGATAAAGGAGTAAACTTCAAAGCCCTTTTAGCAAAGATAGAGCGGGATCAATGAGACACAAACATAATGTGTACATTTGACTGTTGGAGGGATGACGTCCCAGAGGGCATTTTTTTCTGCACTTTGCTGCTGATGTCTTTATATAGTGCTTGATAAAAGGCTTAATTGTCATTGGATGTAACACTGATATAATATTTTGGTATAGCATTATGGTCGCTGCATGTTTTGCCTCTTTTGAACTAAACACAGGATATTTTCCTGCATACAACCAGAGCCTGCTGAATGCTTGTGGACAAGTAAACTCTGACTGCACTGAAACCAGGATTAAGTTAACCAAAAACACATTTCCTTTTCCATACACAATCAAACTTAGTACTACTCTTCAGTAAATAATGCTTGATTGGTCGTCTTTAAGTTGTAACCGTGTAAGTTATGGTTTATTGATCAGGAATAAAAAAAAAAAACTGTTGTGTGGCCCGGTTGCAGTATAACTCCCTGGCTTTGCATTTTAAGTGGATTGAATGAAATGATAATCTTTTAATTTGTTAATAACAGAGTTAGAAATGTCAGTTCTCGCGAAAAAATTAAAAAATGTGGATTTATGAAATGAACGACTGAATAGGGCTACTCAACAAGGTATTTAAAAGAACTTTGAGGAATTAGATTTTCAATTCAAAACTATGACTAAACCTATACATTATCAGACTATTAAATGTCTCAAAACAATAATCAGATTTCAGGACTTTGTTGCTCTAAGGTGAGCTTCCTGCAGTTTCAGGCTCAAACTTTGTACATTGACTCTAGCAGGCCTTGCAAGTTTATTGATTCGGCCTTGTAGACATATAATAATTGCTTGATCATTTTCAACATATTTGAGCCCAAAACGTCCAGACATTTTCCCTTCTCATGTCTAAACTGTGTTTTCCTGTATTGTCATGAGCATAAGCGTGCATGTTTTTGCTTCAATAACCCTGCTTAACTGTATTATAGAGAGGAGAAAGATGTAGAACAGTAACAGGTAGTTTCATAAATGAGGAAAAAAGAAGTCTTGAGGACTATTCTGACTTGTTGTTCTGACTCTACTAACTTAATGATGATGGTTTCGATATCACTGAAGATGATGATGGTTGTGACGATTGTTTTTGTTTGATAACGACGACTTATAAGATGGTTTCTATACTGATTAGAGCTCTCAAGAACTGCCGTCAATGTTGTGCTTTGCCTCTGTGCAATGCCTGTCAGCACCTGTGTGTCCAATCAGACTCAAAGCTGATCGTTTGCTCTTACTGACATTGTTCCCTTTTTTCTAGATCCTTGCTTGTGTTGTACTTACTCTCTGATGTACGTCGCTTTGGATAAAAGCATCTGCTAAGTGAATTGTAGAATTGTAGAATTGTTGATTTCCTAAGCTTGAACAACAGAAGAAAGCTGCTTACTTGTTTACAAATCAGTTATACGAAAGGATACGATACACTTCATTGTCCCCTAGGGGAAATGTGTCTTGGACTCAAAGTGCTGCCAAACATTCAGCTGCTTCCACTCAACTCAATAAATAAAAGTCACAGAAAAACCACATCCACACAAAAAGGCACACACCAATACAGAACAACACAACACATATTGCACATTACTATAGGCCTATTGAACAAGATCTGCAAAAACACAGCATGAGAGATACAAAAAACAAAGGTAAGGAAAAAAGCATACAGGGACACCATGACGCTATTGCACAATCCACACAGCCTTACGAAACATTATTTAGGATTTTCATTGTCGTGGGAACAAAAGAGTTTTTTGAAGCTGTTCAATTTTCATCAGGGGAATCTGTAACGTCGGACAACACTCTCTGTGCCTGTCTGTGAACACACTGCTCACTATCGTAGTTTTTTTTTTTTTTTTTTACATAGGCCTATACTTTGCAATTGGCTTTATTGTGTCATACATCTGCTTCACGATCTGAGTATTTCCAGTAGTTCTCCTGCATCACTACCCCTGCATCCCTTGAGCTCTCATTGGCTGTTTTCGGAGGATGGGCCATGGGCTCGGGCTCGGGTACACCCATCATTGCGTCAGCTGTAATATATGAACCGCACGACACGGCCCACACGTCCCAAAGGAGCTTTTCCATCAAGCAGAAGTCTACGGGAGGTAGTGCACAGCAGCTAAACATCCACATCCTGGACGACTTTACGCTTGCACGACTACAAGCTGCTGGAGCTTTTGACAACGGTACAAGGGGACCAGACCTCCAACTCAGGCTGCCCGGTGTTTAAAAGACAGAAAGAAGAGACTGCTAAAGCTGTTCTTCCTTTTTTTTTTTTTAAAGAGACTGAAGTTTCAACTTTTTCTTTCTCTCTCTCTCTTCGGGAGCAAGTCCTTCAAAATGACCGACTTTTAAGCGAAGGCGCCGGGAGACCCCGAGGAAGTTCTTCATCGCCCGTGTCAGTTTTGACAAAAGAAGTACACAAAGAATAAGAAGAAACGAGTAGTCTACTACTTCCCTAACGACGCAACCATGGACTCGGGAAAGGTATTTACATATCTTTGACTCATTTCACCACAACAAGCCTCTTTACTCCTGTCAAACCGGTTAGGCTTGCCTCTTCTTGGTGCTGCCTGTCAGGGTGTCTTAGTTCATCGGGTTCACGGTATATTTAACCATGAGGCGCTTCCACATGTGCTTTGACGGAGAGTCCATGATGCAGATAGGATTTTATTATCTACCTATTAGTTATAAGTCTGAGTAGCTTGTGTTATTTTAGGGTGTTCACTAAAAAAGGTTTTGTCCACAAAAGGATATGTCACAGTGGCCCACAACATGTAGGCTACTCACCCGGTATTTTTTTTTTTTTTGTATCAATTTACTCTAAAGTACTTCCGCAGTCTCTTTGACGTCATATTGAGTCCGGCTCTGTGCATGGGATGCTTTGTCACGTCTAGCGCCTTGTTTGCGAGCTGCGTGGCCGCGCATGTGTGTTTGTCCTGTGATGTGTCGAAGTGCTTTGTCACCGTGGTTGAAGTAATTCCTGCGAAAAGTCAGTGTGACTATGAAGTTTGACAGGAATTATAAGTAGAGCTTCTTAGTAATATCCCTGTTGAGACCAGGGGACGAAGAAATATCCTTGAGCAGTTCAACAGCAAACTCCATTACCAGTGATTGTTTTTGCTGAAAAAAAACAAAAACAAAAAAAAAGTACGTTTCAGACGCTTTTGCAAATTTACTTAACATGTGTTAAAGGCATACATACGTAGTTTTATGGGGCTGCAAATTGTTTATTTTATTTTTTTATAGCAAGTTAATTCATGGATTATTGTCAATAGCTTTCTTTAAAATTGCCTTCACATTTTTGAGGACCCTGAAATCCGAGCCAAAAAAAATAGCCTAGTCCTCAACACAATTTCTTAGTAGTAGTCTATAACATAGTAAAATAAGATAGCTAATATGCAGCACTGTTTCTTTAATACTAGCATATCTGTCAACTGATTTATCATGTAGCCTAAGCATTTCAATGATGGTTATGTATAGAAATCATTTTTAATTAGTTGTGTTTTTGGAGAGGTGCGGCTCATTTTATTCATGTAAATTCTGTCTTCATATCATAAACATATCACATGTTTTAGGGTGATAATTCTTAATCTACAAGAAACTACAGACATCACATTTATATTGAAACAACTCCAAATACAGTCTAATTAGTTAGACATAACTTAATACAGTTCAATCGGACATCTTTTAATTTACTTTAGATTAATTTAACTCTGGATAACATGCACGTGAATGACTAAAATGACCCATCGTATTGTTTGATTTAGCATCAGTTCACTTCTCAGTTTTTCATCTCAATCCATGGTCTTGGTTTGAGACTTTTTGTGGGACAAAACAAAAACATTATCTTAGGCTCTCTAAACCCTTTGATAAGACTGTCAGGGCAAAGGGAAATATTTTATTTATTTTAGATAACCTCTTGGCATTGATCTGACATAATTTTGTTTCCAAAACTATTTATCTGTGATCTAATCATGATAATAATAACTGCTTGTTTACTTCATCAGACTTTACATTGTGTCTTCGTTTTAGACTGTGATGCTCCTTGCTCTGAGAGTAAACACGGCTTATCTGCTGTCTGATACTGCTGTCTCCATCATGCAGCTTGTGGTCACAGTTACATATGCAGACATGCAGTTCAGCTGTGTCGTCCTTTCTGTTATTGATGTCAGATCAGTTAAACCCAGTGTAGCAGCCCAGTCTGATTTTGAGGTCAAATGTTGTTTCCCTTCAGTACTTCTTTGAGCATGCTCACTTCGCTGTGGTGGACCTTCAGCTGGACAGATTCGTTGTGGACGTGATGGGAACGGTTTCCTCGGTTCCCGTCATGTGATTCCCACAGAGAGAAACCCTACCCAGGGAATACACAGCTGCAACACCGGGGCATTAAAGCCTTGACCCGTTCTTTCTGTCTACACTAAAGACTCTAAAGACTGTCTATAGCTCTTTAGTGTCCTGCAGTGTTTAGCTGTCTAATATTGATATCTGGATTATGACTGTAGTGAAACATCAGCCTACAATCAGCCTCATACCTGGCGTGTTCTCAGTGTTATACCAAGCAGATGAAGTCGAGTAGTATGTGGAGTGAGTTTTGCGAGTGACTTAAGGTGCAGTAAGAGGAAGTGGTTGAACTTGTGTTTGATTTCCAGCGAAGTGACACAGAGTTCAAAAAGAGCTGATCTGCTTGTTTTAAAATCCGCCCTGAGAATTATCATTCCAGTAAGGTGAATGGTCCACATCGACACACACAGCAGAGCCATGTAGAGCTGTTTAATTAAACACATTCTCAATTGAGAAGGCAGCATATCCCCAATTATTTAAATACAAAATATTTTAAATTAATTCAGATACATTTTTATTTGTATAGCGTCAACTCTAGCTCATTTCAACTTCTTCATTTGAAGAATGTACTTTATTTGTCATAACGTTTGTAATGTTAGTTGATGATGAATCTTTAGGTTGTGAACTGTGGGTTGGACAACAGAAGCACGGTGGTGTCACCTTTGGTTCTCAGCAATAACAATTTTATTTATTTTTTTTTTTTACATCTTTTCATTTTATAGAATATAAATTTTGATGAAATAATATAAATTAGGACCTGACCGATATGGGATTTTTGGGGCCAATGTGGATACTGATAGTCATGTGATATGATAATATCGGCAGGCCGATCAACCGGTCTGGCTCTAAAAATGATTGACAGATTAGTCACTGTTCAGAATAATCGTAATTCCCTTACACTTTCAGGTAGATGTACTGAGCACATCTTCACCGTCTGTTTTTGTCTTCAATATCAAGTCTTTTTTTTTCACGTTTAGATTGCATGCCTTCGGTGCAGCGGTCATCTTATATATTATGCAGTTATTCACCCTAATCCCAAAGCTCCTCCATCAAAACATGCCACCCTAAAGCCGTCTAACTTCACATTGTTAACCTTCGAAAGAGCTTTACTTTCAACAACAAGAAGCTTTGTTTTGGTCTGAAAACTCAATTCACCCCCCCGTAATTTCTTGGAAAAGAAATACATTACATAATTGGGGTCAAGCATACAGTTGACTTGCTCTGTTGTGAACAGAACAGCTGCTACACATTTTATTCCCGACAGACCTGACAGCACAGGTATTTTGATTGGGACTCCAGAGCCAACAACCTCCTTCACATTGTATAGACGAGTAATTGCACGCTGGCTTAAATCCTCTCTATCCACTGCCTTTCAGTCATCTTTCCTTAAGACAGTTCACCAGACCTCCTTTCATCTGCATGGCCAGCTCCCTTCATAATGTCTCATACTGTAAGTGTCAGCCATGTTTTAATGAGGCTTAATGAGGCTGTGCGCCAAAATTTGGGATTAAGAGATGTGGGAGGGTTTTAATTGAGATGAACAAGCAAGCGAGAGTGCATGTTTAACTCACTTCTTTGAGAAAGCTGATGGCTTTGTGCACAGTGAAAGGATTACAATGGTTCATGCAGGGTCGAGCTGTGTCTCTGTGGGCTTGAAATTGAATAAATCAGCACAAACACTAAAGGACTGTTAATTTATGTTGTTGACATTTAACCCTTAAATCTGACCTCTGGCGTTGTGATATAAATCTCTTCCTTTAATGAACGCGCTACAGAAACAGTTTGAACTGTCTTGTGTTCCTTGGCTGTTTCTGCACAAGTGTAAACTGAGTAAAATATTTACAGCATCTAAAATAGTATTTATGCATTATTCAGGCTTCCGTAATTCAAGATTTATCAGATTAAAACTACATAAGATTGGAACTTCTTTGACGTAAACTGCACACAAAATCCCAGCAGTTGAGCAGGTCTCCTCCTGTATCAAACGCTTGTCCAAAAAAAAAAAAAACCCCATAGACACCTCTATATGTACTTACGATATAACTGTATTATAACCCCTGCCTCCATTTAAATGCTCTGGCAGTCATGTTATGGTTACCTTATTCCTTCTCATAAGAGTTTGTCATCTTGGATTCAAACACTTACTTGGTCAGCCAATAGCCTCCCCCCCCAAAAAAAAAAAAAGATATTTGAATATACATGTCAGAGTCATCTTGAATTGATATAATTGGATCCAAAAGATCACGTCATGTCCATGCATCCTCTAGTCTCTCCTTGTAAAATATATCTTGAATAGTCCTGACTCCTGTTGTTGTTTATATGAGCCACACTGCAGTTCTGAAACATGCTGACTCATGTTTTAATGATATTACCAGGTTCAACTTAACATCTGATTCTCGGCCATTAGTTGCAAAATAATTTGTTGCATTAGTTATGAGATATTGATGAATTGATTTCAATGAACAGGCAGCCAATGCCTTGCTGTATTCATTATTGAGAGACCCCATGAAGAACATGACAACAACCACATTAGTGATAATGTTTTCTGGGAACTGAAAGTGATCATGCTGAATGTTGGCTCTTAAATTCTTTAAATTTTGAGATCTAAAGCTGAGGTATGGTGGCATACTACCCTAACTAATAAATATAAAATGTATAAGAAATGGTCGCCATATTTTCACTTTAGATGCTTAACGCTGAAGCTTCATTGCTAGAGCCAGGTAATCATTTCTAGAAGTTTGTGTTGAGTGCAGAGTTCTTTATCTCATCTCACTGTGACGGGCTCGAGGTTTCTGGCCCAGACAGATAAGTAGTTAGAAGCCTTTCTGCTCATGTTTACTAAAAGTTTACACAGCACACACGGATAATAAGCACCTTTTCAAATGATAATCTCTATAAGGTCCCTACACCAAACATTTCAAAGGTTGAGGCAGATGGAAATGTTCAGCTTCTCATTATTCTGTCATGTAAATAAAGGTTAATAATAAAGGTACCATTAATCATGTTGTTATGCCCATCCCTGTTACTTTCCCACTTTTGTTCCTTAATGGGTGTCTTTCAAATCTTACTGTTGTTGATATCATGCTAGCTAATCTTAAATGAAGGTGTGTGCTTCACCATCACCTGGATCAATTTAAACAGAA